GAAAACAACAACAACAAAACTCTACAGTTTATGTTCACTGAACAGAAGAGACTTCAAAAATCATTTCCTGAATGCCCATTATCATAACGCAGAAAGAACAGAATAGAACGCGGAAATGAAAGAACAGAACAATTTTTTAAAAAAACAACAACAAACCAAAAACTCCAGTGTCTTAAAAACCAGAAGAATTTCAGGACTCTTATTTGAAATATATATAAATTAGCGAGAATGGATGGGCTTGTGTCTCCCTGCTTTCACACCGTACACTCAGGGCCTAAATAAGCAATAGCTAGTTATTTGAGGGCTTCAACTCTTCAGAAAAATCTCATTATGTGAAGAGTGAAGTGCCTCTGTGGGGAGCATTATGGAAATATCCGTGTTTGATTTAATGAGGCTCTCTTCACATTGGTGGAATATCAACGGAACAGAGGGAAAGTCTACCCGGGGCGCCCGCGTTACCAAAATGAAAATTGGCAATTGAGATGATAAGAACCGCGGTTTCCTTGTGCAGAATCACTTCCAAGGTAACAGATATAACATTAAATAACATACATTCTTTGCACCAAGAACAATGTTTTATGTTCCAAGTCTCTTATCTGTCTCTTCTAATGACTTCCCTTAGCGGGTTGTTAGTACTTGACAGCAGGTCTCCGCGCGGGGAACTCCCCCCCCCCCATTCCACATTCAAAGGAGGTCCATCAGAGAACATGATTGGCAATTTTCGTCATAATCTGCACATTATTAGCATCAAAATTGACACGGCAGTAACACCGGGTGTGTATTTTTGTGTGTGTGTGCCTTTCTTCAAGTTCACGGAAGTCCCTCCAGGAAGTAGCAAAAGGGGGTTGGGTCTCTCCCTCCCTTTCCCCAGTGGTGGTTTGTCAGAGCCAAAGGCGCGTGACGAAATAATGCCGAGAAACATGATTCCTTTGGATGGAGTCCTTTCTTTGCAAATTAAAGTTTCATTAAAAAAAAAAAAAGACACGTTCGTTTGTTTGTTTTTAAACTTAAAGTACCCGGAAGGTCAGTGATTCGAGACAATGCCTCACCTGCCAATAAAGTTTCAAGTATTTCCCAGATAAATTGTGGACTATGGTGCTCGGAAAGCAGGAAGCTAAAAAATAATAAAAAATAAAAAATAGAACGTAAATCCCTCGCCCTGTTTCCTGGACGAGTATTGCTGTCAGTCTCACACTCCCTTCTCTTTCTACTGGCCCACCCTCTGTTTACTGCCATCCCTCCAAAAGAATAAGAAGAAAGTAGCCAGCCTCTTCCAGTTCAAGAGGGCAGGAGGAGAAGGAAACCATAATAAGAACCGCGTTTCCCCCTTCCTCTTCTCCTATAAAGCACCCGGTTTCTTTGCCCATCAGTCGCCACAGGCATCTCTGTGGCAAATTTCTGCTGGGTTTGTGTGCTTCGTCCTCAGCCAGATCCCCACTAAATGCAGGAATTGGGGTTTGCCTTTATATATATATATACTGTATGTATATATATATAGGTTTGTTTTAAAAGATGCCCAAACCATGCGTTTGGGTTGCGCAGCTGGCACAAGCGCCGGCCTTCGAGATGGCTGCTACTAGAGCAACCATTGGCCCTGCTGGCTTAACCCGCCGCTCAGCAACATCTCGGGCTGGCCACAGGTTAGCCATCCTTCCTGCAGAGGACCAAGGATAAGGTGCTGCTTAGGTATCCAGCCGTGCTAACAACCGTCGGCTGCAGGTCAGAGGCGCCCAAGAGCAGTTCCCATTGCTGCCAGCAGGGGGAGCGAGGCAGCACCCTCCGGAGCTCGGATGGCTGCATTGAGTGCAGAATGTCTAGAAACGATCATTCGCCAATCCTAACAACTGGGGGTGCTTGTTGGGTGTGAGGAGGGGGCGGGGGAGAGAGGAAGCACAGAATGTTAAAAGGCCAGTATGTTTGGGGCTGCTCCCCACACCTTCCTCCTCCAACCACCCTCTCCCAGCAGCCATCTTTTTAAATCAGGGCGTGAGAACAACAGCAAAACAACAATTATCAATTATAGTACTTTAAAAAAAAAACCTTTTTGCTAGAGTTCCAGTGTATGCCCCCCCTCCCCTCCGTTGTACAAAACGGTTCTCTTCTGCCCTCGGCCACCCCGGCTCAACAGCGCCTCCCACTGGCCGCCGGGGTGGGGGGGCTGGCTAGTTATCTGGTCAAGGCGGCCTCCTCCCGCTGGTCTGGGGAAGGGACGGCGGTCTTGCTGAGCACGGCGGCCGAGTAAGGCAGGAAGCCGCTCTCCGAGCGCTGCGAGGCGGCCGCCGCCGCCGCTCCGGCCGCGGTGCAGGTGAAATCCGAGCCGGAGGCGCGCGATCCCAGGGCTGCCGCGGCCGCGGCCGCCGCCGACTGGCTACTGTGGCAGCTGAGGCAGGAGCAGGGCGCGGAGCCGGCCGGAGGAGCCGTCGAGGCTGCGGCAGCGGCGGCCGCGGCTGCAGCTGCAGCGGCCGAGGCAGCGGCGCTGCTGTTGAGACCGGCGGCGGCGGCTGCGGCGGGCGACTGGTAGAGGCCCGGGTGTCTGAAGCTGCACAGCAGCTCCGGCCGGGAGTAAGGGTGCGAGAGGGCGCGGAAGGTGTCCAGAGGGCGAATGGAGGTGGCGAAAGGTGAGGCGGTGGCCCCCGACGCCGCAGCCGCGGCCGCGGCCGCCGTCACCCCGACGTGCGGGTAGTAGTGCAGGGGCACGTGGGAATGGAACGGGTAAGGCAGGCTCCCCGTGGCCGCCGCGTGGGTCATCATGTACGTGTAGAAGCTGGGGTCCGCCGGGTGGGGCCACGACATGGCCAGCCGCTGCCTCTTGTCCTTCATCCGTCGGTTCTGGAACCACACCTGGTGGAGTGCGGGGGAAGGGGGAGAGAGAGGGGGAGATGTGGGGCAGCGAATAGGGAGGCGGGGGGGACACACAGAGGATAGGACGGCTTAGAAACGGCAACAGATCCACAGCAGCGCGCCACGCCCCCTCCCTCTTCCGCGGGGTCAGATGCGAAGCCTGGCGCAGCCCTTGCGCCACGAGGCGCAGCTGGCAGTGCTAAGCCGCCTCCTCGCCAGGGACATTGCTTGCCCCACATGGCCTAAGTTAGGTTTTCGAACCAGCCTTAAAGCTTCCCAACTTGGCTGGCCGGCTCAATTCAGGCTCTTTCTCCGGGCTCCGCGCTTCTTCCGTTTGAACTTTTAGGCCGCAGAGATATTAAAATGGTTCTTTGCCTCTCCTTTGCGCGCCGCCGGGTCGGGAAACTTTCCCCTGCCGAGCAACCATCTCTGAGAAACTACCGTGGCTGCGCTGTCTTCGATCTCAAAAATGAAACCGTTTCCCCGCTCCCATTCCGTATTAAAATATAACCAGGGATGTCAGCCCTCTCTTATTTCAATTGAGCTCAACTCAATTCAGTGAGAGCACTGGGCTGCTGTTTTTTCAAAGTTATCATTTTTAACAAACCTTCTTAAATAAACCTTTAAAAAAAATAAATGACGAAGATTGCAGATCAAGTTGCAAACCCTTATCAACGCTACATTTATTTTCAACGACCAAAACAGGCAATAAGTTTCCATATCTGCTTATTGAAAAGGCTGAGAGTTCTGCCCACGGAAAATACCTTTTGCAACGAAATATATGGATGTTTCTGGTCTTCCGGTTTACCTTGGCTCCCTTTCTGTTTATCCCATAGCGCACTATATAGCACGTGATTCAAAACCATTCATTCGGAAACGATTTGGTCCGGCTACAGAAACCAAATGTTCGTTTTTTTAAAAACCGTAAAAGCCAAACACGGTTTGATTATTGCAAAACTATTAAGGCTTCCATTTCTCCCGATTCTTTACGGTGTCGAAGGTAGGGCCTTCTCACCTCATACTGCGATCCTAGGCACGTTTACCAGCGAGTAAGCCCAGTGGAACATAGTGCGACTTACTTACAATTAAACTCGTCTAAGGATAGAGCGCAGCCATTTGCCTCGTCCTCTCAGATGAGGTAGAGAAGAATCAGCAAATGGAATAGAAACCATCTGAAGGAATAACGGCGTGTGATCCATTTCTAAATCGACTCGAGTTATTAAAAAATAATAATTTCACATTAACTGCCTTTCTCCTATTTTTTTATTTTTTAGTACACCTTTTGAAAATGCGAGAAACAATGGAAAAAGACTGTCTATCTCAGAGGGGGCGGGGAGAGAGAGACGAGGTTAAAAATAGCTAAACAATCTGGTGGGAAGAGTGGAATTATCTGCTCATTTATCTGGTGCCTTTTTCCTATTCTCCATGGCCTTGAAGAAGCGGAGGAGTCAAACGCGGCCTCTTTCGCTGCCAGCAAGGCGCAGCTGGACCGAGGCTGGAGCTCTGGTGGTTTAAGAACCCGAAAGAAAAACAGGGAGCGGCGAGCGCGCAAAGCCAGGAGCCAGCCGGCAGCCTCCCTCGCCTCCCGCAGCCCCGGCTTGCCCTAAGACACTACTGTACCTTGATGGTAGTCTCCGGCAGGTTGAGAGCCGCGGCCAGCTCGCACCTCCTGGGCCGAGAGACATAGTTCTCCCGGTAGAACTCCTTCTCCAGCCGAGCGATCTGCTCCCGGGTGAAGGCGGTGCGGTACCTCCGCACTTGATCCGCTCCGGAGCTGGAGTTCCCCAAGCCGCTGCCGCCGTGCAGGCTGCTTAAACTGGAACCCGAGGACGAGGTGGTGGTGCTGGGCGTGGAGCTGCTCTCGGAATATCCTACGGAGCAACAACAATGACAGCAGTGAGAAAGCATCAAAGAGCGATGGCTCTTCTCCAGGAGAAGAAGGGATGAGCTGGCGGGCGGGTTTCAACCAAGCGGCAGGCGCCGCTGGCAATCTGGGCTCTCCCTGATAATTAATGCTGGCTGTCATGGATACAAATTGCCGCTGTTAATAGAATCAATAAAAGTTTCTTTTCTTTTCTTTCTTTTCTTTTCTTTTCTCTTTTTTTAAACACGGCTTCATAAGCAAACTAGACGCCTTCTTGTGAAATAAATAAATGCAACTCTCTCTGTTCTGCGGAACAAATTAACCGAGGAACAAAGTTAAGGCAGGCGTTTTCCTAAAAGCGTCCCTCCAGCGGAGACTTCGCTCGTCTTTTCCTGTCCCTGCTTCCCTTTACTTTTTATTTCGTGGGAACCAAATGGTGTCCCTTAAAACCCAACGGCGTGCCAGTTCGCACTGTAAGTGAATTTCCTCGTAGGATACCTTTGGGCGAAAGGTAAATAGCACCCGCGTCCTAGAAAGATTGATCTGTGATTATAAATTTGCAAGTTGCCTCCAGTTAGGATCTATTACCTAACGGACACTTCGAAAAAGTTGCTACAGCGCTTTGAGAGATTACGCTGTATTAACTGTAGGATCGAAGTTAACAATGCCCAGAGAAATACTATTTTGGCTTGGGGGTGGGGCGGACATAGCGGGAAGGAGAAACACCTAATGCATTAAAAATAACGATAATACATAACTGCATTTTTAGTGAAAGCATCAAACAGAAAGTCAGACAGACACACAAAAGAATCTTCCTAGGAATAGAAACACGCACTGGACTCTAAATGCAGCCTCTAATTGCCGTCTTGAAGAATCCCCGTTATGAGCTGTATTTTATAATTACACAGTACCAAAATTGCGCAAGAAACACCTGTCTACACACTCCGTAGAGAAACAGTCTGGTGTTTTTTTAAATAATAAAAAAAAACCGGTGCAAGTGGCACTTCGTTCTCCAAAACAAACAGGAGAAATCTTGTGGAAGATATGCCCAGATACACTCAGAAGGTGTGCAACGTTTGGTGGTCACAAATACACCATGACAGCCCTGTTCACTTCGGTATAGATTATAGAAACTCAGCGTGCGGGAGTGTGCAGATAAGACTGGAGATCCCTTTAGCACCCTGGATAGACTGCCTGGTCTTGCGAAGCACCATAACACGCCAAAGAGGCTTCCACATTTGAATATCCATATTGTACCTGCCTGTTCCATAAAGGACCAGCTGACGATCCCTTGGTATTTAATGCGCTGCTTAAAATCCTGATCTTCTCCAGGAAAAGCTGGAGGGGGTGTCAGGGTGCCTTGGATTTCTCCCCATCTCCCCCCCACCCCACCCAAGTTCTTACCCCAGTAAACGCCCGCTTTGGAGTGGGGTGGGGTGGTGGCGCCGGGGTAGACCGGGAGAGAGGGAGAGAGATGGAGAGAGTTACCTTTGTTATTGTTTTCCTTCAGCTGGGAGGAAGTGAGGCTGGCGGGGGAGCGGAGCGCAGAGCAGCCCACCTCCACGTCGCTGTTCATATCTGCCTCTTGAGCAACTTCTGAGTAATGGCTAATCTTCTTCCTCCCTTCGGAGGGAGGCAGCTCCGAGGTGGCGACGCCGACGCCGCTTTCGCCGCTCTGGTGCTGAAGGTTGAATAAAGTGTCTATTTCGAATTTCCCTTTGGCAGGGATGTCCCCTAAAGAGGTGTGCAGAGAAGCGGAAGTCAGTCTCGGGCTCAGGCGGCCGCCGTGGGGCGAATTTTCGAGGGCCTCCAATACCACGTTGCCAGCCGAGTCGGACAAATTCGCCAGCCTTTTGCCAGCCGTGGGGCTGTGCAGCCCTCGTTCCATCAGGATCATCTCTTTTCTTATTCTTTCCATCATCTCTCAGCTCTTTTTCCCCCCTCCTTGGGAAAAAAAAGTATATATATATATAAATATATATATATATATGTCAAGGTTGCAAAGGGTTCGTCTTCCTAATGATGAGCCGTGCAGCAGGGGCTAATTCGCATTCAGCCCGGCGAGTGTCTCTAAATATTATTATTACCTCTTTTGGAAGGGGAGGCGTAAAAAAAAAAAAAAAAAAAGGCGAGATGCAAAAGCGGAGGGAATGACTGGTCAAAATGACCCATACATCCTTCCTAGCCCCGAAATGTCATTCATCACGAATAGGGAGCGCTCGTCATTAAGGTACGGATGACGCTGGTCGAATAATCATTTATTGTAACAGGTTTATAAGCAAATAAATACAAGCTCCTGTCAACGGATAATGAAGGCGGCTTCGGAGCAGACAAATAGATCCAGGTAGGGAGGCAGAGGGAGAGAAAGAGAGAGAGAGAGAGACCCGGAGTGAAGAGAAGCGCTTGTCCTTTGCTCGATCAGATCTTGCATGGATTGCTCTGGGGTTTGGCCTCTGGGGTGAAATTGACAGTCTGATTAATAAAACGAGCTGAGCAACATTTCCCCCTTCATTTAGGTGCATCATTATGCTCTGATTCCCCCCTTTCTTTCCTTTCCCCCTTTTTGCTTTTGTGTGTGTGTGTGAGTGAGAGAGCGTGTGCGTGTGTGTGTGTGAGCGCGCGCGCGCCTCTTGGCTTCTTAGCTCCTAACGATGCAAGCTTCTTTCTCGTTTGTCCTCCTCGGACAGAAACACGGGGGCTAAATGACAGGGGAGGCTTTGATTTCTAGGGAGGAGGGTTCCTCTCGCTCTCTCTCCCTTAAAGAGAGAAAAGCTGCCAAGGTGTGTGTGTGTGTGTGTGCGTGTGCAAGAGAGAGAGATCCCCCCATTCAGTCCTCTTTTAATCACCTTTCCTTCCTATTTAAGAAAGCAGGCATCCAAGACGTCCCAGGAAGAAATCGACTCGCCCTTTCCACGGGGACACACACACACACACACACACACACACACGGACTTCCAGACTTAAATAACTATTTCTGCAGATACATGCCAGCCCCAAAAGAGCATCTATCGCGAGCTACAGTCTGTGCGCGCAACCATTAAGAGTACTCCAAGGGGATCTCAGCGTTATTTCCTTAACTCATCCACAAACCATATATATTTGTGTCTATTTGTGGTGGTAGTGGGCAGGCGTGCGGGGGGTGGGTTTTTTTTCTTCCTTTCCATAATCCTGTTTATTGACGGAACTAGTCTAAAGTCCTTCCTTCGCCTCTGGCTCAAAATCCTCTCCCTGGTGGAATGACGGGAAGCAAAAACAAAAGGAAAGAAAAGTTCGGCGGAATCTTAAAGACATGATTCAAAGCACCAGAGAGGAGTAAAAAGAAAAATTTAAAAATAAAAAAAATCATTAATATATTCGTTCAGTCATTCTCTGCCTAGATTTTTCTCTCCAACCTCCTCCACCCCTTTTAAAACGAAGCCCTGATATATATATTGATATATATATATATATAAAACGCTTTTGGTGTATATATATACATATATATAAAAGGCCTGGACTGCAAAGGCAAATAGCGAGAGCCGCCATTCTCCTCGCCCTCCTCCAACTCCCCTTCCAGCCACCCTCCTTCCCTTGTGTAAAGTTACCTGCCTCTCCGTTTCCTCCCCTCTCTCTTTCCCTCTCGGTTCGGAGAGATTCCGGGGAGCAGCCAATCTCTCTGGGCGCCCAGCGGGACGCGGGGGGCCGCGATTCGCCGGCCCTTCCTCTCGGAAACTCTCTCTCCGGCGAGAACTTTGATGGTAATATAATGACGCCGAGGGCAAACGAAGATAAAGCCGGCTGTCATTAGCATCCTGGGAGCACCTCCTCGAGAGGTACAGCGCCCAACCTTTTTTTCCACCCGAGGAAAGCCTTGCTGTCGGGGGTTTCCCTTCTCTCCCCACCCCCTGTGAGATTCTGCTAAAGTTTATATTTCTGGCTGGGGTGGAATCCGATGGAAATGCCTCTCACGCGATACGGTAACACCTCCGCCACACACACCTAGAAAAATGCACTCTTCTTCCAAGCAGAGGAGTGCCTGGTGCTTGATCTGATACGGAAAAAGCTTCCTTTGAAAAGAAACAGGGAACGCCAATGTTAGGGCCCGATCCAAACTAAACGAGGCTGCAGCCCTTCTGCGTACTCACCTAGGGTCAAGCCCCATAGGACTGTCAGGGGCTTTACTTCCGAGTAGATGCGCAGAAGCTTGCGCTCTGAAGCGCTTTCAAATCCCGTTGATTCCAACAGTGCAGAGCTAAGCAGGTCCGCCATTAAAATGTGTTTAATTTCTGACTTAGACGTGCTTTTAATGTGCATGATGTTGACCCATTTCTCCCAGATGTTGGGTGTACCCTGGATAAAGTCCAGGGCTCTTTAGCCAGAGGGCAAGTAAAGGGCATTGGTGCTCTCACTTGCGCGCCCCCTGATAAGATCCACTCTCGGTGTGCTTAGGATGGTGTTGCCACGGATTTCTGAAGAACACCTGGATCCTACGTAATAATTTCCCCTAAAGTGACTCAGAAGTGTTTGTGTGTGAGAAAAAGAGAGAGTTTGGTCCAAGATCCTCTTAAAGACTTCATGGAATATTAACATTAAATTGATCCTACACATAATAGTCAGATTTTAAAAAATCCAAACCCCCAGCTCTGTGTTAAGGCTGTTGTTGCAAAAGCAGCACCGTACCTTTAAAACACATATTTAAAGCACATTCCTCCCATCTCACAAAGAATCCTGGGAACTGTAGTTTGCTAAGGGTGCTAGGAATGTCAGCTCTGTGGTGGGCAAACTACAGTTCCCATGATTATTATTTTGGGGGAGGGGTGTGTTCTTTAAATATGTGCTGCGCAGGCATTCCAAGAGCCCAGCGGCGCCTTAACGTTTATTACGTCATAAGCTTTCCTGGACTCGAGAAGCCAGAGGACTCTAAGCCATGAAAACTTCCGCCACAACCAGTGTGTTAGTCAAGACTCTTAACCATAGAACTGTAGAGTTGCAAGGGGGCCACCAGGGTCATCTAGTCCAACTCCCTGCAGTGCCCAATATGGGGCTCGAACCCACGACCCTAAAATTAAGAGTCTCTTGCTCAGTTACTGACGGAGCTATCTTCGTTGCTCTTGTTGGGTTTTCCCCCCTTCCCAGGTCAACTGTTCGAGATCGGTTTAGGATCTCTAAGGGGGTCTGTTGTTCATTAAACCCCACCCAACCAATTAAGGCGAGCCTTCGGTGGTTCCCCGAAGTGCGAATTTCGCTGTAGAAGCCTGGGTGCGTATTACAAGAGGAAAGCGTGAAAATGGCAAACAAATTGGAAACAGAGCATGCGCTTGTCCGTCCGTAGAGGCATTTGAGAACAGGATCTCCTATTACTGAGCAACATTCAAGGTGCAAAAATGGCATTTCTGTGCGATCCTCTATTGCTACTATTACAAACCCCTCCCTTTCTCAAAAACACACAAGGAAGTAGAAGCGGACAACGGTGCGGTTAGGAATTAACCTCTTCCTGTCTGATTGACCAAATGCCCCTATCCTGACAAGCGTCCCAGAGCCCACCCGGTGACTAAACTACGACGACAGCAGCCTTCTGCTCTCTGGCAGTCACTCTCCCGTTTTAAACTGGAGCAGAAACCAGTTCCGAGTTGTTGTTTTTCTGAGTCCACACAACTCTCCCTCCCTCCCTCCCTCCGTTCCTCTCTCTCTTTTGCTGGGATCCTGTAAAAATTCCACAGAACTTGGAATCCGCCAGATTTCCGCGTGAACGCTCTTGACTGTAGACCAGGCCTCCGAGTTTTGCATGTCAGAGGATCGCCAGCAAAAGAAACCCTAAACCTAATAATAATAATAATAATAATAATAATAATAATAATAATAATAAATACTATAAGAGCGATGCTCTCCTCTCTAAACAGACAAGAAACACCGTTTGGCTCTGGGTTGGAGAAGACATGCATATCGATTTCCGAGGAAGCTTTAGCCACCGCGTGGGAGTGAGTAACCAACCAGTTATAAAATGGGAAGCGGAAATCTGCGGGCGCCTTTATTGCTGTCGTTTGGCGCCCCCATCCGTTTTCTCAGCGGCGTTAACACGCGCGATATAATTATTTTGCTTCTTCTCCTGCACCCCCTTTCCTTCGCCAGCCTAAAATCTTCAGAAAACCGACATCTTCAGCACCCTCTCCTAGAATCACGAAGCCCCCCCCCCGTCTCCTGGCCCCTTCTCCTTCGAGGAAAAGAGCTGCGGTGCCGAGCGCGCGTTTCGAACTGAGACCCTTCAGCCGAAGGAGGGCTGCAGTCGTCTGGACTCCCCAACTCCCCTTTATTAGTGTTATTTTATATTTTGCACCTTTTAAAGAATAGCAGTCCTCGAGTTTATGTGAGACCTCTTTCAAAGTTTGGCTCTCTTCTCGTGAGAGGGGAAAGTTTAGTGCGCGCCGTAAAAGGCAGTTTAATAATCATCAGCTAAGTAGATATTGCGTAACGACGCCGACCGCAGCCAATGGCAGCTGGTCATTACTCTCCAGAAAGAAAGCAAAATAATACTAATAAAGTCGTTATTTGATGTTTTATATTCCTAGACAACTCGATTAATGGGCTCGAAGGCTCTTTAGAACTATTCTTCGTTTAGGAAACTATTTCTGGGGGTTTAAAGTTGTTGCTCTTGTTGTGTGTGTGTGTTTTTAAAGACATTTTAGAAATGGGGAATGTTGGCAGACAAATGTGCAGGGCTGGTTTTGTTTGCACCGTGTTGACTCAGTTGTCCTTATAAGTTTTATGTAGCTGCTACGGCCTGAAGCCAAGCTTTAAAATAACCCCCTCTCAAAAACTGAGCCCTGAGACATCAAAGAATAAGCGACCCTTGTTTGTTAACTTTTAATTGAGGAGGTCTCATCCGACTTAATTGAAATGGAGCGCAGGTTTCAAGTGGGACCGAAAGCCCCGGCAGCTTTTAAAGAGTCGAAGTGTTCATAGGAAGGGAGGCTGAGTAAATATTTGTTTCCCGGGTCCTTTGAGGTGAACTGCATAGCGTTGCTTCTGGAGCAGGTAATAAACAGGGGCGTCCCCGCAGCGGAGTCTCTACACAGAAGCCTGTCTTGGAAGTTCTGGCTATGTTTACATCTGTCTAGACCCTCCAATGCCAGACCGTCTGGGATGAACTTGGTTTCACCGCGAGTGTCAGCAAGAACAGGACGGGTCAAACAGGGGGTCAAGCTCGCTTGGGTTTCTCTCAACCTCGGGAGGAGGGTGATAGGTCAGGTGCTCACCCCCCCCCCCAAGAGGAGAAACCCGCGCCTTCTCCGTGGTATTATAGGGCGCTCTTCGCTCGTAGGATTTTTAACATTCACCCTTCCAGGGTCCCGATAGCGTTCAGATTATGTTTCTGCTTTCTCCTTTCACCACCGGGACTGCTGCTGCATCTTCAATTCTCAATTTATTCGCCAGGGGCTGCGTGTACAGGAGCGCCGGTGGGGATGTGTAGGCGCACACACCCACGGCACGCTCACAAAGTATAGGCGCAAAGACTGCGCAACAGTTACGAAGGACGCTGGTATATAGGGAACACCGGAGCAGCCCACTTGTTTAAATACTGTAAATAAACATATAAAACACATGCCCAGAAGTATCATTTATGTTTGCATATGCATCTGTGTGCGTGTGTATGAGTGAGAGAAGTAGATGAGATATATTAAAAATATGATAAATATAGGGAATCCAGAAACCAGTAGGAGAAAAAGAAGAGTTTGGATTTGATATCCCGCTATATCACTACCCGAAGGAGCCTCAAAGCGGCTAACAATCCCCTTTCCCTTCCTCCCCCACAACAAAC